TAGCAATTTGATCTAATTAAAACTAAATAATGAAGACATAGATTTCAAGATTGGTTTGCTCAAATGAGCCACCATCTTGTGGGCATGTTAGGGGATAGAATCCATCATCAAATAAAGATGAAAATGTAGATCAATTTATAAGGATTTGAGCTACACCTCCTAATAAGGTTTAACATTTTAAGATGGACCCCGAGTCTTATCACAACTAAGCTTTTCATAAGCAAATTGGTAAGGGCTTAGAGAAATTTTTTGGTCTAGGTTGGGTTATTAGTTTTAAATTTAGAATATCTTCCAAGTGCTAAGTGACCTTTGGAAGAAGAACTTTTGGTCGGGAGAAGAAAATTTGCTTTGCAACTCTTGAAGGATTTCAATAGATTCAATAAAAAAGACGGGTGTTGCTCGCGAGTCATTCTACACTGATCAATCGAAGATATGGAGGGAGTCTTTATTTTTGTTTTAATTATGCGTTTGTCTTTAATGTGTATATTTCATCTAGTGGATTTTTAAATAGTTGTGCATGTCTCGTGGACGTACACTCACCAAACCACGTCAACAATTCTTGTATTGTTATTTACGATTTCCGGGCAAATTATTTAAGTCGAACGGATCTAACGTATGTTACACCTCGACTGAAAATTTTTTATTTTCCGTAGATCTCCCTCTTCCATTTTAAAATGTTAATTTCGTTAAAAGAGTTTACCCCAATCTTTATTAGATAACATGGAATTTTAACTTATATAAGAACTATAGCTACAATATATATGCATAATGGGGGTACCTTAACATTTCTGCCATTAATTCAAGAAAATGAAAATCATAAACGGACGAGAGAGAGAGGGAGAGATTATGGAAATGGATATTGGCTAAACTGACCAAATGACAAGCAATCCTGGCCGCTGAAGGCCTCTACCATGTCTATCCCGGGGCAGTACATATTGGCTCCATCATCCGAAAACAAAACAGTCTGATCAACATAATAGGCAAGACGAGCTCTAGCAAGAATCAGATCATGTTGAAGCTCTACCATCTTCTTCTGCAGCGAAGCTATCGCCCCGAAGCAACCGTAAACGGGGTCACTGAGGCGCATGTCCGCTTCGTAACCGAGCGTATTCACGGCTTCTTCACGTTGCTCCTCCGGCACCTCGTTTAGGCTCTTGCTCACTTTACTTGCTCCAAACACCTTGTGTACCTTTGCGTAANCATGGTCTCCAAATCAGCGACGATTTCTTTAAAAGCAGTTAGGTGATCCTCAAGAGATGTACATTCTGTCATACGATGAAAATATAGACGTTGCTTCAGTAAACGAGCGTATTCACGGCTTCTTCCCGTTGCTCCTCCGGCACCTCGTTTAGGATCTTGCTCACTTTACTTGCTCCAAACACCTTGTGTACCTTTGCGAATTTATTCTGCTCGTCGGACCGGAAATATGGTGCAAATTGGCAAGTAGGAGTGCACCTTCGCTTCAACAACTTGCAGGCTGCACAGGAAGAGCCTGAACGGGGCTCTTGATGACTCTTCATGCCTCTTCTTAATCTGCATCCACTTCAATTCATGCTATTTGACACTTTATATATGGGTATTATGCATCTTACTACCACTATCTTATAAAAAAATTAAGCAAATTGACTTTTTAAAGAAATATCGGAGATAATGCTTTTAATGATGCAAATATTAAACTAAAATTAAAATAAAGAAAGTAACTTGTGAAGAAAACTGACAAAGTTTGTATGAAAGTGCTACACACACTCTTAATCAAATTTGGCCAATATTTGGAAAGTAACTTAAAAATTACTTCTACTACTCAATCAAGTCAAATTTTAATTTTAACCACACATTTAAAATTACAACTCTTTGTTATACACACATTTCATGGTCCCACCATTATCTATGACAGTTTAAAAGTTTCTTGTTCATAAATCAAGTAATAATTCAAATTTTAAATATTATAAAAATTAAATTATTTTATATATCCACCTCACCATCATCTAACCTAGCCAATTTCAGTCACAAACCTTAATTATTTTCCTTGCTACTTTATATCTCTCTATTCTCACTTCTCTCTCTTTCCCATCCTCTCTACCGGCACTACCATTCACATTCTCTCTCTCTCCTCTCATTGCAGTGACGCCTCTACAATTCGTATTTCACATTGGGCGCCATCGTGGAGTAGTGCCTCTGCTCAAAGTGGTGTCACTGTAGAGATGGCAATGGGTCGAGCCGAGCTGGCTCGTCCCGTATGCACATGAGCTCGGCTAGTCCCATGAGCTCGTGGGTTGAGCCGAGTTTCGGCTCGCGAGCTCGTAAATTATGTGTGTGTACACACACACACACACACACATATATATATGATAATCCTTTTTTTTTACGAATACGAGCTCGCCTAGCGAGTCAGCTCGCTCGGCTCGTGCTCGAGCTCGTCGTTTGATGAGTTGACGAGCCATTTCTGCCATTTTGCCGCCATTACGTCACTGCAGCAGCGACGAAGATGACGCTGTGCACGGCATGAAAGGCGCTCCAATAGCGGCATCTTCACTGTAATTGTAGCGTCGCTGCTACTAACAAATGACAGAAGTTTGGGGACAGTGTTGCAACAACGACAAATGACAGTTTGGCAGAACGATCTGTTGCAGCATGAGCAGCGATGAAAGAGAATTTGGAAAACAATCTGCTGCCGCAGACAGAGAATCTAGGGGAAATTGGGTCGCGATCCGGTTCCAGAGTTTTTAGGGTAGGATTTGTCGGTTATGTTTACAGTTGGTGGTGGTCGTGTTGACGATGTTGGTGAGGTTGTGACAATGCTTGTTATTTTATAGGGTTTGTATTGTTGGTTGTGTTTGTAGGTGGTCGAGGTGGTGGTGGTGGTCCTAGCGGTTGTGGGTGGGGTGGAAAGAAGAGTGTTTATGATCGATAAATAACGTGACATGAAAAAATGTAAAATTTTGACTAAATTTGTGATTGTGACTCACAATTTGTTAATTTGTGATCAATTAATTTAATAATTGGTGATCGAGAAATAACTATAACTAATTAATTTGATTATTTGTAATTGTGAAATAGGTTATAACTTATAAAATTTGTAATTTGTGATAAAAAATGATATTGAAATATTAATTTGATAATTAGTGATCGATAAATAAATTGAAACCTCTAAAATTGGTGATTTGTAACTGAAAAACAATGTGGCCGATAAAGAACTTGTAACATATAAAATTTGTGATCGAGAAATAATTTGTGATCCATTAATTTGATAGTTTGTGATCTATAAAATTTGTGATTTGTGACTATGGCGTCTATAATTGTTACTAGTATGTAATAGTGACCATAAATTGTATAATATTGTAATCTTAATATATTTAATTAATAAAAAAATTTAATTAATTAATAGAATTTAATTAAGATCTTATTTTTTAAATAATAACATAATTTCTTAAATTTGAAATTATATTTTGCAACCACCTTATACATGAAGTTCTCCCATGATATACTGATGGGCGGAGCCAGGCTTCAGTGAGACGGGGGGCTAGTGAGTTAGATAGTGGTCTATTGGGTTGGACTAGAGGTGTCAAGACGGATGGGCCGTCCATGACCCGTGAAAACCGGGACCGCGGGCCGACCCGGGCCCGTGCGGGCGGTTCACGGGCCAAGGAGGTGTAACCCGCGGGTTTCGCGGGTTGCACCCCCACGGGCC